CCATCACAGAAGGCCACCAAATCGGTCAGGCACGATTTACCATCACCTCCTCACTTCCCACTTGCCTTAGTATAGTTTCCAGGAGGATCTGCTCCATGATCTTGCCTGGAACTGAGGTGAGACTGACTGGCCTGTAGTTCCCCAGACCTTCCTTGTTACCCTTTTTAAAAATGGGGGTTATGTTCCCCCTTTTCCAGTCCATGGGAACTTCAGCAGAACACCACAACTTCTCAGATATGATGGCGGTTTGGCAACTTCATCCGCCAGTTCTCTCAGGATCTGCGGATGCAGCTCATCAGGTTCAATGGACTTGTGCAGCTTCAGGTTCCTCAGATGTTCTCAAACCTGATCTTCTCAGTGGGTGGCTCTTCATTCTCCCACTCTCTGCCTCTGCCTTCTGTGATTTGGGGGCTGTGGCTCAAGCACTTCTTGGTGAAGACTGAGGCAAAGAAGTTGTTGAATACCTCAGCCTACTCCATATCCTGGGTCTCCCGTTTCCTTTTGGAGGGGGCCTACGTTTTCTCTACTCTACCTTTTATCCCCAACATACCTATAAAAGGTTTTCTTGTTGGCCTTTGCCAACAAGATGCTCCTGGCCAGACGTAATTCTGCCAGGGCTTTAGATTTCCTAACCTGATCCCTGGCTGCTCGGACAATTTCCCTGTATTCCTCCCAGGCTACCTGTCCTTGCTTCCACCCTCTGTAGGCTTCCTTTTTGCCTTTGAGTTTGTCCAGGAGCTCCCTGTTCATCCATGCAGCCCTCCCGGTGTTTTTGTCTGACTTCACCAAGTCGGCCAGCCTGCTCCCAAAGATTCTCTTGCCTCTTCTAGACAGCTGGTTCCATTAATAATGCAACAAAGCCTCAAGTCTCTCTAATTTAAAGCCCCCCCTTTTGCTATCTTCTGAACATCTTTGTCTAAACAAGGATACGTAGGTAAATAAATATATGCAAAAAGAGAATAAAAAGGCATGAATAATGCATGCAAAGTTTCCAAGCTAACTCACCTTCAAGCAGACAGCACTAAATTATCCTTACTGAAGAAATGAGGAAGTACTGCTTTTGATTAAAAGCACTTTATTTTCCAGTGCTCTATTTGCAAGCGCTTTTCACACCAGGTAGTTTGAAATAATTTAAAGGACTTTTATAACATAGTGTCTTTTAAATTCCAATGACAAAACCATTAGTTAGCTTACTCCATTCTAGCTGTATGCAGTGCTTATCAAAAGTGACTGATTAACATCTATATTTCACAGGCTAAGACAACAGAACAATATCTAAATGAATTAAAAGATTAAGACTTTGAATTTGAGGATAAACTTGTCTTCACTTGTTCTCTTTATTCTTCATAAAGGAAAAACAACCAAGCAATTTGCATGTGAACTAAGAAATTACTGTGTAGACTTCCCTGATATGAACTGATAATAATGACATTGCTCTGTCTCCCTCACATGCACCCACAAGAAGTACTCTATTCTGAGTGAATGGACACTCTTTTCCCCAACTTTTCTTCAGCAAATCCCAGGTTCTACATACAAACTGAATCTCATACCCTTCAACTCTTTTAATAGTAAGTTAAACTCAAAGCTGCTCCCTAGAATTAGCTGCATATCAACTCTAGAGCTTCTTTAACCAGCTTTTCCATCTTTCTTGTACCCAAATTAGCCATTGTTTTATGTGTGGTTGATGCTGGCACACACCAATGGAAGTGAAACTTTCATCTCTATTCATGTTCACATACTGCCGCCCTCGCTTTGCACCAGCTCCTTTACAGCTGCAGGATGAATCAGACTGTTTCTCTGATCTGACTGAAAATTAACTTCACTAAAGAATTAAGTGGAACCAGCTTCATTCTTGTAATGGAATTAAAACATCCTCTACAGCAGTAAGCAAGCACGGTCCCACTGGCAGACAAGCCACTGTGACCACAAGTATCAGGCACTGCCCTTTATCTCTAGTACAAGCTCAACAGTTGCCCGACACTTTCAGACGTGACAGTCCTGGGGCACATTACTGTGTTTTGACCTGTGACACTGCTACCATGTCTGTGCAAGAGGCTGCCTCATGCAACTCTGCAGAGTACTACTGCTGACATCTAACTGTATTTCTGAAACATGATCTGCTGAGATATCACAAAACCATTTAGCCACACAATTAAGACTGGGAGGTACTTATGTCCCATTTAAAACACATTTCTCACACAGCTTTCAACATATGACGAAGGAGGAATCTGAGATTATGGTTAAATATGGTAACCACTACTCACCACAGATGAAGCTGGTTCTGATTAGTCTGTGGCACAGCAGCCAAGGAATGGAGATGGCTGAGCAGCTGGACTCTGTAATGAGGTTGGATGTGATGCATCCGATAGCTAAACATTTCTAGCAGAGTGTGCAAAATTCCCCATGCATGAGATTTGAACACTGTTGGCAGGAGCTGACCTTAAGAAAAAGAGTTTGTAAAGTAAGTTTTCCAAGTGATTACACTTTAAAATACAACTACAGACTACACTGTGGACAGACAGTGATATAGAGCTGCAAGTCAGGTATTTGATTTGAAAACTCTATTACCTCTAAAGAGTGCATGTGCACGCACTCTCTGAAGATGCTGCATATGCGTAGATCTCAATAATCTTTTGAATGAATACACACAGCAGACATGCAAATTATTTTAACAAGTGCAATTAAATATCATTTGTGTCTAAATAAGTAACTGTTTATGATTTTCCATTAAGCATATTTTTGCACAATGCAGCCTAACTAGGAAGGTCCTGACCATACAAGTGATGGCATAAAGCGACAGTAGCACACTCATCTGAAATCCAATGCAGCAGTAGGATAACTACTACAATTTATTTTATATTACAATAATGTATACACGTATTCAAGATGCTGCATCATTAGATTTTCATTTTTACTACGGTCTTTAATTGCCATTAGAAGAAAATGCAACTGAACAAAAGGAAAGGGGGGGGAATAAAGGTTTTCTTTCTTACTGATAAAGCCTTTGATGCCCAAGGATTCTATTTCCATATAAACCAACAGGCGACTATAGGTTTCCACAAGAGCAGGAGCCAAGGCCACACTAGATTTTGCATGAGCCAACTTAATTACCCTTGTAGCTATGCTATGAATCAGACTGAGGAAAGAAAGAAAGAAAGAAAGTATTTTTCAATCAAAACTAAGGACTTGAAAGTTAAGAAATTTATTAAGTAAATCAATAGAGCTACACATTACATGTCTCGACACAGGAAAGCTTTCCTGATGATAATTAGTTACACACAGATTTACAGGTTAAAATAATTACATTAAAAAAATTTACAGGTTAAAATAATTAGTTACACGCAGATTTACAGTTATGCTAGCTGCATACTGTACCTCATTTTGGCATGAACTGTGAGGGAGTCCAAAAGGTTCATTGGCAATGGGGTAATAGATCCTGATGCCATGCAATTAGTCCCTGGAAGAGCTATCCTCATGTTGCCATTTCCATAAATAGTCTCTACTAGTACACCCATTGGCAAAGTGAAACACTCTGAATTGGTTGAATAAGCATTGCACAACAAGGCAATCTTGTAGTCATTCATCTGTAAGCTTTTATTTCTTAAACTCTGTTGCAAAAACCTGTGTGACAAAGAGATTAAACATTAAGTAGAAAGAAACAAGCAGGAGAATACACGTGCATTCCAGGATTACAGCCACAGTAACCCCAGTCAAAAATCCACTGTAAGATAGTAGAAAAACCAAAACACCTATGAATTGCACCACCATCAAGATGACTACATCTTAAGCCACAGTTTCACTGTGTTATGATTTTCTCATATCAGAGAAATGCCTCAGGAAAAAATACACTTTAAAAATCACCTTTCCAGACAAAACTTAACCCAATGTACTGCTTATCCACCCTTTCCAAACCACAGCATAATAAAAAATAGTAAATTTGTTTTCAGATTCTACATAAATAAAAAAGATTTATTAATTTGAGATGTAATATATTATTTCCATTAGCTCTACGATAATAGTACATTTTGACTTTGAGCTCGCTCTCAGTCCTGCTTCATTTCTTTGAGAATCCTTATAGAGCATCCCAGCACACAATACATTCTGAACACAGACTCGGGAGTTTCCTATTCCATTACGTCTAGAGACAAATCAAAACATAACAAAACCCCAAAAACTCACTCGTGGTGAAGTTTAAGAGAATGAGGAATGGGAATCTGTAACTTGGAGTTGTCGCTATGGGCCTTCCGATTCAGGTGAATCCAAATACAGGTCATTGCAAAAGCATGAGTTGACTGGGGTTTGTTAATGTCAGGTACAGGAATATACTAAAGAAAGAACATAAGAATGTGACATATTGCATGCACTGATGTACAGAAAACCAACTTAGACAGCCAGCATTCACAAGTGAAGCTTTTCTTTTTCTGACTTGCAACAAACACCATAAGTAACATATTTAAAGAACAGATTCTACCCTCATCTGAGTATGTACTTTTAAACCAAGAGCTCTGGAAGAGACCTGGACCTCAGTAATTATTCTGAAAAAAAACCCCCAAAGCAAATCATGTAAGACCTCAGCAAATGAAATTTCATGCTTAGAACACACAAATTCAAGACATATATAGTTACAAAGCATATACTTTTACTCTCAGCCTCACACTTATACATTATGTAGAAACCAATTTTGGTATGAGTTTCCATACCAAAGTGGTTCACCAATATTTTCTGAAAAATCTAACTTGTCTAGCATCACCATTACACTTAGAGACTAATATATTTCTTATGAAAAGGAACAGTTACACTCCAAAATTCAAAAGGTTTTGGCTACAGACTCAGGCATATTACTGCCATTGGAAAAGGCACTCTGGTTCTCTTTTTGCCAACATCAACATTTCTTTCCCTCTGGTACAGTTACTACTGCACAAGCACCACTGATAGCACAAGTGAGACAGCGGCAACACATAATCAAAGGGCAAGTAAGCCAGATCCTTTTAGGAGCAACAGCCATAGATAACATTTAAACCATCTGTGAAATGGAATCCTCAGAAATGCCCAAGTCTCACAAACACTTTAAGTAAGTGTAACTCAGAGCCCATCGCTACAGTTAAATAGCCCCACCACTCTTCCTGTATTTTCTGCAGACAAAAACAATTGCAAACTCATGAAACAAATTGTAATGAAGAATTTTTGTGGGTGAGAACTAACTTAAAAGAGGAAAAAATTGCTACACATCAGTTTGGTACACACATTTGTGTTAACATATCTACTGACCCAAAATAGAAGGCACTATGATAAGAGCAAGCAATCAGGACTTCATGGTGACAGCACTGTCACAATGGAAGTTTAAGAACTTCCCTTAACACCCCCTTCCTCAGGAACCTTCACTCTAGAGGAGTATACAAAGCATTACTAGGATTTTATTTGCTACCGCACAATAAATTGAAAGTAACTATTAATACAAAACAATGCAAAGTGCCTTGTTCAGTTCTTTGCACCTGAAAGTATCTCTCAGTGTTATTATTTTGTTACAGCTCAGGTTTAACAATAAAGTTCCACAACATTATCCCATAATAGTATCCTCAGTGCTTTAACAAACTCCTCAAAACCTTAGTCAAACCGAAGTCCAAAAAAAAGTGAGTTAACACAAGTCTCTTTCGCCCCCAAAAACATTACAGAAATGCGGTTACTGGAAAAACATGGCTAGGAAATCCTGAAAACTTTCATTTCATTATGAAACATCTCTCTCCAACTATGCAGCACACTGCTGTAACACTGACTCCAAAATTATAGTAATATTGACATATGAAGGTCTCAGGTTGAACTAACAATAAAACTTTTAATTTCAGAGAGAAGACTTACTTCTTTCTCAGGATACAGAAGGTCAAAAAGTTTCATAACTGGGAGGAAGTCAGCCAGTGCATTCTTCTGGATGCTGCCAGAGATAAACTGGAGTAACACCCACATCAGATGGTCTCTTCCTTTAATGAGACCACGGCCTGCCAACTGTCAAAAACACTCAGTAACAGACAAATACTGCATGCAGAAGAAAAAAAATCACTCTAAGATTCCTATAAAAGTAGAAGGGCAGACTAAATCAGTTCCAGCAGAGATTACTGGGAATTTTATAGCAGGACTTAAGACAGAAATGTATGTCGTGTTTTCAGAAAGATGGCAAATAGGTACATCACTTCTAACACAGAAACGGACTCTGGGAGGGCCACAACAATTAATGGTAGGATTTAAAATGTATTTAGCTTTTGAGGATCACTGTTTTGAAAAATTAGCAACTCTTAAATATTGGACTTAAATTGTCACCATGTAGCCCTGTGGTCAAGTACAATAATGACATTGCTACCACCAGGCTACAGGTTTTATACTAACTCTGTCTATAAAGAAAGTCTCTGAACCAGAACAACTTGGGCTTTCTTCATCTGGATCCATTAACTTCTTTATCTGTAATAGCAATTCTCTAATAACCAGTACTCTACTCTTAACCTCTACTCTTATTTAGTTTGCTTTTGTTTTAGATCTGATTTGTGCAATTGTGTTGTATAGTGCCTATTGTTTCAATGCTTCATTAACAGTGGTTAAAGGAATGCAATGCTGGTAAAACTAATTTCAGGGATACCAAAAAGAGCAGAGAACTAGAATCCATCACAAGTAAAACATAACTTACATAGTAAATTTTGATGTAACATGGAACTGAGGACAAATGAAGATGAAGCAATGTGTAGTGCATGTTAGAAACTATCTAAATAGCCACAAACTAATCCTATAATGAAGAGAAAGAACATCCCTTTCCTTCCATCAACACCATACTTTCTCTCAGCAAATAGCTCAGGATGTTGCTGACTTACTGTAAACCCCACCTTGCTCTTTTCTTATGGAGGACTGGAACCACCACCCTTAGAATTCAGAGAGGCACTGAGCACCACAGAAAAGGGTAAATACTAGGAAGTGGATCAGTTTTAACCAAATTATTATTAGGAAGTAATAATAACGTTGGACTATGACTGCCAGTATCACTGTAATTGGACAAATGATCTTTGATTAGATTGCTTTGATTAGATTGATCAGACAAACAAACTGTAAGTTCTTTCATTTACACAGCTTGTTTCTTTATCTCACAAACTCAACAGGGCGTTCCCTCTGAAGCTTGGTTGTAAACTGGATGCAACAGCACAGTACTCAGGTTTTCTGCATTATGCCAGTTAATCTCCTTACACTAGTTACTAGCACATTTTGAGTCCAAATAAAATGCAACAAGCTCTAACTGGATACACTGGAAACAGATCTAGCTTGCAGCAACATAACTTGAGAATTTTTTACTTGCTGCTACACAGCAGTTGTGGTTTTAAAATCTCTCCTACCAAGTGGGAGCGATACAAACAATTTACCTTTTGATGGAGTGACAGGACCATATGAGGAAAACTTGCAAACTGAAAGAGCACAAAGAAAATGAGCTGGCTGGAGAGATGCTGCCACAGAAGCTGACTGGTTCCACCATCATCAAACTTCTCTTCAGTCTCAGACCGTTCCATGGCATACACCACAAGATCCACCAGCTGGTTCTCCAGCACAGGGCAGCGCTGCTTGTGCTGTAAGGCAGAGATCAGATACAGTATTCCAAAAGCCTTGCCATTAACTACGGAACTTGAACAGTTGCAGTTACAGTACAGTATTTTGACAGAAGGCTGGGAAGCATGAAATGAAGTCTGAACTCAAGTTAAGGATAAGCCAGTGTATTAAAGCTGCACTATGTTACAGGTCACAATGATTTTTACATTTCATCACATGGTGATTTTTAAATTTTATCACACATTACACAATTCTCTGCTTAGTTCCAAAACACAGATCATCAATGCACATCTGGGATTTTCATTTGTGCTTTTTAATAAATTCATGCAGAATGTTATTTCTCTGATCTTGCATTAATGGAAAACAAACTCCATTTTTTTAATGCACTGGTGGGGGTTCTTCTGTTTGCTTTGGGTTTTGTTGTTTTGTTTTTTTTTCCCTTCCCTCTTTTCTCCTTTAAAGTCCATTTCAAAAATAGGAGTCACTTACCATAAGGAAAAAGATATATCAATTATATCACCAAACCCAGAGAAAACATGCCAATACAAAATATAGGTGTTTAATTACTATTCTCTTTTTCACTCTCATTTTGGGCTCACCTACAACTAGCAGCAGAAATAACATCTGGTTAATACCCCTATAATTCAGTGCTGTTCCACTGAAACAGCACCACCTGGGACAAGACAAAATCAAGAAGACTTGAAAATTAACCTGATAAAAGTGGTTATGTTCTACATATTGTGAGTAGAACAGAAATTACATCTCATAGTGATGAGCTCTTTAGATGTTAGATTCAGACTGCCATCACAATCTCCACCATAGTGAGCTATGCAAACACAGAAATAATTTAAAATACACACCTTCCCTGATGACTTTTAATAATGATCAAGTAAGGAATGCATTCAGATATGTAAGTTAGTATAGATGTACAGAAAGCACACCCACTACGAGTGGTTTGGAACTCAGATTATAAATCTTAAATTTAAGACCATCAAGTGTAATGTCACATATGAAATTACTCAGTGCAACAACCTTGCATTCATATAGTTATACTGGTACAAAGTACTATTAATAAGGACAAAAAGTTGTGTGGAATTTAACTTATTTCAGACAGTGCTAGATTATTCAGAAATAATCTATCCTCTGTTTGTTTCATTAGAGTCTAAATTCAGGAATGGTCACATTTTTTTATTTTATTTTTTCTTCCACACCCGATGCCTGTAACATAATGCAGCCTTAAAGAAAATATTATCACTTTAATGATACAAAAGAAAAGGAACTGAGCTGCTCAAACACTAATCATGAAAACACAGTATCCCTTTCTAGAGGCAAAAAGGTGCATGTGAAAAAGTTTAAAAAGGTCACCCAAATATTCATAAAACATTTTAAGGATGCCATAGATGAGTTCCTTCACTTACTAGCCAGGCAGCCTAAAAAACCCCTTTTAATTAACAAAGAAATAAATAATAAAAGGAAAGAGAGATGCTGAAAGGAGATGCTTCATGGCAAAATATTACCATCCTTCACGGATGGTAATATTTTGCCATGAAAAAAAAAGAGATTCTCTTCAACTAAAAATAAAATGCAAGAATAGGAGAAGTTGACAAAATATGCTGAACAGCATCCCCTGTTGCATGCTCTTTGCCAGCTCAAAACTGCAGAAAGCTACAATCCCAGCTGTGCTTTCTGGAAGCATGCTTAAGGCAAACCTCTAACTAAACCAGAAAGCACCGGTTACTGTTTCACCTTCTCTTCCAGTACGCAACGCCGATATCGCGGATCAACCACGTTACAGGTTTACAGAGAGCAATATTAACGCCACCGCTGGAGAATACTTTGGGGTTTCGTGGTTCCTTTTTCTCCCCCATCCCAAAGCAACTAATTATGAAGCAGAGCAGGGTGCAACAGACAACACTACAGACTAGTTTATAATCCAGCATGCAAAACTATTACGTACAGGGCTTGAAATTTAATAGTTTGCTAAGCACTGTGTTAATGTCCAAAAGCCTAATCATGTTAGGCTATATTAATTTAGAATAAAGTTATTCAAAGAATAAAACAGGAAAATATTACTGTTAAAAAGAAAGCCAGAATTTCCAGTAGGAATTTTCACTATACTGAATAATTCCAAGATTGGGAAAAGTTTAGGAGCCAGGAAATTAAAAAAAATAAATTCACTCTTTTATTCTGAAAATCAGGCTTTTATTGCTTTAAGAACAATTTTCAATAAGAAATACAGCAGTACTTCACACTCTATCTCCATTAATTTAATTTTCTGGCTTTTTTTTTTTTTCTGTATTTCAAGTGAATATACATTTTTGCACAAATTTTGTATCTATGGTTTTGGAGCACTTGGAAATAAAATACTGTGCTGCATATGAATTTGCAGGATTGGGGCCTTGTTTTATTAATTACTCATAACTAAAAGAACATCTCAGTAAACACTGAGATAAAAATACAGGTGAGAGTTGATTCTCCTCACAAATAAGTAGGAATTCATGTTTGGTATGGTTTAAACAAAACAAAACAAAAAAAACCTGTTTTGGTTTATATATGGAAAAATACAGCATTCAAAACCACTATGGTTTTTTTTCTTAAAGATAATATTATTCAGATTTTTGTAATTTGGTTATATAAATACATATTCTCCATTTCACCCTGAAAATAATATTTAAAATCTGACAAATATATAATCTCACTGAAAACATTATTGAACCATAAAGAAATACAAGGCAGGGGAAAAGCACTACCGTGACAACTTGATACTAAAATTTCTCCCAAGGTCAGCCCCTCTGATGGACTAGCGGTATTTTTTCAGTTGGGTTTTGGGTTGTTGTGGGTTTTTTTTTGTTGGTTGGGTTTTTTTGGTGGGTTGAGGGAGGAGGAGGTCAGGTAGAGTTAAAAGTGTTCCCTAAAAGAAAGAAGTAAGGCTAGCTGCAAGCTATTACAGTTTTTTAATATTTCAAGTACACAACATTTAGCTCAAAAATATTTAATAAAAACCTACACTCTAGAAATGCATCCAGAAGACCAAATCTGAGAGTCCAAGATGCCTGCAAGAGTAAATGGTGTCTCCAAAAGTCCAATTCAAAATGTCTAAGTTAAATGCCTGAAGCAGTTAATACAAGTCAGAACTACAGCCCCTCTCTCACTTCCATTTCCCAAAACTGTATGCTCCCAAGACACAAAACCTTAAAGCTTGTTGTTTATGCCTGATTCTATTTCTACCAAGTTCGGTGGAAGTTTTCAAGCTTTCCTCACTAAAAAACAGAGTAAGTTTCAACAAGAAAGTTGCACTCAATGTTCTCAACACACACTTTTTACAATCAGAAATATATTAAAAAATAATCACACCCCTTAATTTAAGTACTTTGCCATGTTAACACTAATAATATCAGACAGTAAGTTCCCAGCATCAACTTACAATATTTTAAAAATAAAAGGGAAAGGAAAGTTGTTTTTTTAATAATGCATTATGTCATTCCTTTCTCTTAATGATTCTGCTTACACAATGCATGGACAGACATGAAATAAACAACATTTTCCCCAAGCAAACTATTCTGGTTTGTAGCTACAACTACACATTCACCTGAACAGAGTATGGTATAGATAATTTTCTACTCAAAGCTGCAGATCATCACTTGAAGAAACAAGACCCATGAAAATGATCTCTTTCAAATATTTCCCAACTTATAAAAACCAAAGTTTAACAAGATTTTTCATTGTTTAGAGGACTGCAATACAATCCAGACTGTAACTATGCAAGCAAAAATGGCATTTTATTCTTCATGCAAGTCTGTACATACAGAGAAGGTAAAGACACAAGCCAAAATGTTCAAAGTGTGTCCTGACGACACTACTAATGCTCAATTTTAAAAACCAACTGTAAGATCCCTAAACTGAATCTTAATTTGGCATCAGTGTATTAAGATACTTTGAACTGTTTAATAATTTTCCAAAATCCAGATTGTTACATACCTCAACAAATTATTTAGAAGACAATTATTAAGAGTATCACCCCATCTAACAGCAGAATATAAATCAACAAAGAATCACAGAATCATTTAGGTTGGAAAAGACCCTTAAGATCATCGAGTCCAACCATAAACCATTATAAAATACAATTTAAATCTCTACTTCCTATAGACCAGTTCAAACAAGTATACAAGAGAACGTACTGTCCCACACAGAAGTGCACAGTAGTATAAAATAAAAATCCCCGGCCTCCAACAGAAGAAACATTTTGAAGTCTGTACTATTACATCTGGACTTAAAGCCATACACTTGATAAAGGTATTAGAAAACTTCACCACACAACAAAACTTAGAATACTGAAAGGAACATAGCAACCCATAAACAACAAATTTTACTTTCATCTTTCTCTCTGCAAGATTAACAGGAAAGATGGATTTGTACTTTTTTTTTTTTTTTTTTTACACAAGTCAGAGATGGTTTGATCTGGGATGGTTGGATGGCCGGGCCCAGAGTTGTGGTGAATGCAGTTAAACCCAGTTGGCAGCCGGTCACAAGTGGTGTTCCCCAGGGCTCGGTGTTGGGGCCAGCTCTGTTTACTATCTTTATCAATGATCTGGATGAGGGGATTGAGTGCACCCTCAGTAAGTTTGCAGATGACACTAAGCTGGGTGGAAGTGTTGATCTCTTTGAGGGTAGGAAGGCTCTGCAGAGGGATCTGAACAGGTTGAATCAATGGACTGCAACCAGCTGCACGAGGTTCAACAAGGCCACGTGCCAGGTCCTGCACTTGGGTCACAACAACCCCACACAACGCTACAGGCTTGGGGAGGAGTGGCTGGGG